AGTACAAAGTCAATGTACCAAAAAGGAAGTAGTATAGGAATTCCAGAAGATCTGAACTAAGAAGGCCACTGTATTTCAGATCTCTTTGGATTTATTTAGTGATATTAAAAAATGCAAACATAACTACTGTACAAAAAGGATTATTTCATGATTTAATGATATGCATTAAATGGAAAAAACATTCAGAAAAATAAGAGAAAATTATATATAATTATTTATCAATTATTAATTATAAATAAACCAAAAAGAATCAGTTATTGTAGCAAAATAAATTGCTAATGTCTTCATTTAATTAAATATGCTTTAAATACATAACCTTTTCAAAATATGCAGGATGATATTACTTATACCCACATTTAGCTACACAGCTAAATGAAGACTTCAAAATATTCTAACATTGCTAGCCATAATATATCAAATATGAAAGCTGTTTAAATCATGTAAGATGACAAATGAGCTTTTTACAGGACATGAGTTTCTGTTACTGTGTTATTAATTTCACTGCTACTGTGATGGGTTCAACACCTCACAGACAGGTCCAGTGCCCTTTGCTGATCCAGCAGTTCAGAGCTGACAGCTGTAGATCTTTGAGAGATGTTCTACCTGAAGCCCAGGGTCAAAAAAAGACAAATGGGTGGCAGCTTTTTTTAAGAAGTCAACAGGAATGGTGGAAGGTGTGCGTTAACCATCTGCTCACTGTTGCAGATTCTTATCTCAGGTTGTTCACCAAATCAATGATTTTTTCAGCAGGAAGCAAATTCGGGTTACGTTCAGTCACTGGGTGGTTCAGAACTTAAAAACACCAGTCACAGGAGACCTGGAAGCTCAGTTAAACAAAACCAAGTGAATCTGCCACAACGCACTCACTGACTGGCAAAAAACTTCTCTGTTCATGGAAGCTTAAGGTGACCCTACCTTCAAAACTTCTACCTCCCCAGCATATGCCTGCATCTCAAAGGGTTAAGTGATTTGTGAAATATTTTGACTAAGACAAAGTAACTACCTTATATGCTATTAGCCCCTAGCAGCAGCTACAGTATAAGTATAGCGGGAGATGAAATCACAGTGACTAATAGCTTTTCTTTGCGGATGTGTCAGGAGTGTTTCCAGCCCTGTATATCTTCCTGCAATCAGATGTGGCATTAAATAGCATTCTGTCCTGAAATGAATCCTGGCCAGCTTGCTTGCTGAGCAGCTTTACCCGCTGAGGTTCCCACTTAGAGTCACAGAGCATCCCAAGTTGGAAGAGACCTATGAGGATCATTGATTCCAACTCCTAAACTTAACAGAACAGACGTCATCCTGGCTAGACTGCAGGTCCCTGAGCCTCCCAGCCTTAACCTGCTAAGCCCATAACCTTTCATCACCCTGTGAACAACCTTTTGTCTGATTTATCCCAATAGGAACAGGACACAGGGCGATTTAAGAACACTTAAATCTATCCGCAAGAAGGCCACAAACAGTGGAAAAACGTCATGCTGAAGAAATGCACCAAGAGGAAGGAACAGCTGCCCTTACTGCTCGAAAGAAGTGAGACTGACAGTGCATGGGAGGGCAGCTCCATCAGGAGAAGGAACTGGGATGAGTACTTCATTCTCTCACATGAGTCCCACGCTCATGTTAAATTAGGCAAAAAGGGAATAAAAGGGAGAAGAAGCCTGATAGAAAGAATTTATTCCATATCTAAGCAACACTGAATGCTTTGTCTGTACAACATGGATTGTATGGGAACGCAGGGAGAAAAACAACCTGGAATAAAATACTGCCTCTGTGTGTATCCACGCCAGTTACTGAAGCCCTACACAGTGATCCATGGCCCACAGAGCAATTCCATTAGTTCTGAATCTAGGAGCAATATAACCATACCTGTGAAGCATCAAGCTCACACTAGAAGACCCCTCTCTGCCCTCACAAAATGAGAATAATTTGTCAGACATTCGACAGTCATGGTGCATGCCTCAGTTTTACTACCCAAAGGAATGGTCTTCAAACAAAAGGCAGGGAAAGAGTTCATTTACATCTCTGTGTGTAATCTGGAATTGACAGGCTCTTCTACATTGATAAGAAACACTATGGAGGAAATTATTTTGGCTAAGGTAATGGGAAACTTCAGTCCCTGAAGGGTAGCTGGTAACAACAAATGGGTGACTGGTAAATGCTACTTTTTGTAGGGGAAAAATATATATATATATGTTACTATTCTGTCTCACTCTCACTCAGTCTTGATTGACAATCTTTTCATAAAGGCTCTGAGTCTCATTTCTGATCAGCAAAGACCTTCTCATCTATTTCACACGTGAAAGAGGTGCTGTTCCAGTGATGAACTGTTTGGGTTGAGGTACCTGAATACCTGAGAAGAGCCCTCAGATAAGCCCTCACTTAGCAAAACGCAGATACTCACATGAGTGAGCATAGAGGTAGTTTGGGTTTTTCAGGCAGTTGCCCTCACTCTCTCTATTTTTCCAGGTCTGAGAAAGCAAGAGACGCTTCTGGTTTGACCAAGCTTTACTCAGCTGTTTTTTGAACATTACTGAAAGAAACTGATGAATAAAGACAACGATTGACTCCTTTAGCAGTGAATGATGGGCATGTTTTTGGTTACTGCGGTAGTACTATCCACTTATGCTTACTCTTTACTTGCACTTTTCCTCAATGACCAGTTTTTGGCCACCACCAGAGACAGAGCAGACGTTTGGTCTATGCAGTGCAGCTGCTCTTTTGTTCAATTTTAAAAACAGAACTAGCAAACAAATTCTGCATAAATTTCTCCTTGATTTGTTGTCTGTGAGAGCAAGTGCATAACATTCATCACATTTTTAGCTACGTAAGTATTTTTTTCTGAAGAGAGGAATTTAACACATTCTCCAATACTGTGTAGATATAGTGCTGACTCCACTATGAAAACTGCAATATCAGAGCCACCATTGAGAGAACAGTAACAACTTTTCTCACCCTACCATCAAAATAGCACCGCTTTTATACTGCTGCAGATTTGAATGTAGCTGGAAAATGAAAAATAATATTGTTTTGATTGGCATAAAACTCAGTTGTCAGCCAGCTGCACATGAAAATGAGAAACATGAGCAAAAACAAGCATTTACTTGAATGAGATCTTCAGCTCCCACACAAGAAAGCAGCTTGAAGTGGTGCTGAGATACACTTCTGCCAGGGCAGCCTTGCCCAGAGCCTTTCTAGCAAAAGGCAGCACTTCTAAAATCAGGCATGTTATCATGAAGTTTCCATGCTCACTATTTTTAAAGAAAAGAATGTGTAACTCTTTACCAGCAGAATTTAATCAATAATTCATTAAACTGGCTGTAACACAAACAATCCACTGCTGCTTTTGGGCGACTGCACACACGATAAGGAAGATGCCAGCAGTTACTTTAAACCAGTGCAATGTGTGATGTTAGCATCTATGTATATAGAAAAGCTAACAGGTAATTCAGTTAGCAAACAGAACTTAATCCTTTTAAACTAAGAATATTTTCAAACTAAGAATCCTTTAAAAAAAATATCCCTTTTAAAACAAAGTGGCAGAAGTCTTTTTCTTAAAGCTGTAAGCAAGATTCCACCAGCAATTGCTATTATTTGGTCTTTTAGCTATTTGTTTCACATTTTTATCCTATGGTTTGATGCGCCTGTAAATTCTAATTGATTACACAGTTCAACTTTGGATATTAAGCACTGATTTACCAAAAACTACTACAACATTTAATTCAAGTATTTTACATGCTTGCCACATCTACTTTTTCTTTGATTTTTAGTATTTTTTTTTAATATTCTGCAAAACACTTTCTAACATATCCGCTGCATAGCTTAATCTTACTGCGCAGCCAGGATTTTCCATTCACACAGCCATATTCCATGCCTAATGCTAGGTTGCCATCTGTTGACCAACTTAGCAGCTGTATTGTAAAGATACAACACAAGGCACTTGAGAACATAAACAAATTGCAAAAGACCTTTCAAGTTTGAATCCCAGTTTTGTACTTCTTTCTCTCTACCTGGGAAAGTTATTTTAAAAGGTTACCATTTCTCCTTAACTTAATTTGCAGGGGAAAAAAAAAGGATCAAGCTTTTCCATACACAGAGGCAGTACCGGAGAACATCTTCAAAGGCTGCTTAAGGAGACTGTCTGAAGGCTAAAATCAATAGGACATACTTTGGGAACCAAACTGTATAAGAAGCACACTGCACGGATGGAATGATCAGTATTAGGCGCTATAATGTTATGTTTTTCACTTTCAAAAGGTGTCCAAGGGAATCAAGAAAATATTGCCAGGGAAATGAAAATTTAAATTGGTCAACATATATATTTCATTCCTCCTTTTTTTTTTTTTTTTTTCCTTTTTCAATTGCTTTCATTTTAAAAAGAAGTACAGATGAAAAAAACAACATCTCTGTATAGGATAGTATATTAGCTGGGTTTACAAGGGTGCAAGAGTCACTTTTAGCAGGATGCACAGTATCACCTCAGGGAAGAAACTCTTCATACCTACTTCACTTAGCATGTAAAAGGCTTTAGTTTTCTCCAAGTGACTGCATGTACGAAACAGAGTGTCTAGAACATTTCTTTTGCCTCAAAGGGGATTTGTAGGAGTATCTTCAAAAACACTGGAAAGGCCTTCAAGAATTCTGATCATCAGCATCACGAATAAAAGACAATTGTTTTCTCTGAAGTCATTAGAAAAACAAAGCTTTCCAAAGGAATGATACATGAAAAGGACTTTCCAAAAAACATGAAACAACTGTGAGATATTTCTTAATAGAAATATAATATTAAATGATAATGTACAAAATAAACAAACAATAACATATTTTAATAGAAATACAATCAAAATAGAGATCAGCTCTATTAATAGTACTTTATATAGCAATATATAAACTTTCTATAGCAATACATGAACACAGCACAGTCTAAACACTGCATTATGGTGCTGAGCTCAAGAACTTACATGCATATAACAATTTCATGCAGTCTCTGTTTAGCGACTCACCTCTGAATCATCCAGTTCCAGTTTTTTCAGAGACTTCCTGACATAATCTAAGAAGGAGGATGATTTGGAGAAAATTTTTCCAACATGTCGATCACTGCAAATATAATGTTGAGATGCATGCATTCCGCTAACAGAAACTTACAGATTTTAAAAATCATTTTTATCTGAATTTCCATTTATTGAGGGCAAATAAATCTGTTGGACAGCCCCTTGGGTCAAGTTAGTGACAATTTTCCTTTTCTCCTTTTCACTTAAAACAACTAGCTAATACTTGGAGAAGTTTCTAAGCACAACTGTACAGCTGTACTACAGCTGGAGTATGGTTACTATTTTACCAAAAAATGAGAGAGGTGAAGGTTTCTTTTTAATTTCTCCCGTGATGGTTTTATTTTCTCATATGAGTGACAAAATTCTTATTTCTATCAAATGATATTACCTTCTGTGCTCCTGTAACACTGTCATTATTTACTGCAATGCTGCTGTAATTTATTGTGAACCACCAGACTGAGCAAATGGCAGGTCACAGCAAAATTTCACTGTAACCTTGTGTTCTTATCCTCAAAACTGTAGCTTAGTTAAGTGATACCAGAACTTCCACTGTTGACGACAGTGGCTCACTTTTGAAGCCGGCTAAAATTGCAGACAGTTTAAGAAAACGTTAAAATAACGTACAAAAACACAAAGACCACTCAGAAACATTGACAGGTCTCATCCGTTCATTTTCTCTGCTTTGTTTAAAATATCTTGGAGAAATTACATAAAACTTTTATTAATCTGAACTCACTTTCTTGACAATTTCCCCACATAGCACTACCCTAATCGAGTTTTGCAGCTTAGGAGTTACATTTTCAGCTATAACAGCTGCTCCTGAACATTTCTTAAGAAGGAAGTATGCTAAGTAGAAATAATAACAAATAGATTAAAAATATAATTTAATTTGTAAATATTTAAAACTTTTCTCCCTCTTTATTCTTAGTAAAAACTCTTTCTCCTTATTTAAGGATCAGAATTAACATCTACCAAGGTCAATATAATGACTTTACCCAATGGCATTTCTAATGTTTTTTGGGTGGCAGAGATCCCCATTCATTGAGAACCAATGGCCACATTTATTTTTAAGAATTTCTCTAGTCATATTTAATACTGAGGTGCATTTAAACATTTGGGCTGATGCAGCCTGAAAATCAGTTAATGATTATGCTGCTATGACAGGCCTCTGCCCTCCTAATTAGATGCTAGAGGGGGAAAGATATCGCATTGGGTCTGGCTGAGATAGGTTAACTTTGTTCAGAGCAGCCCATATGGCGCTGTGTTTTGCATTTGTGACTAAAACGGTGCTGATAACACATGGATATTTCAGCTGGTGTCAAACTGCTCTGCCTTGCAGCAAGGAGGATTGGGTTGGGCAAGAGGCCAAGGGTGAACCCAGCCAGGACAGCTGACTTAAACCTACCACAGGGATATGCCGTACTGTATACCATGACACACAGCAATAAAGCTGGAGGGTGGTATTCTCAAGGTAGTAGATGCTTGTAGACTGCCTGGGCAGCAGTCTGCTGGTGAGAGGGTGAACCTCTGCTTCATTTGTTTTTGTGTTTAGAGTTGCTTTTAATTTTTTCCACCTTTCCCTTTCATTAACTTATCAAACAGTCCTTATCTTGATGAGTTTTTCTCATCCTGCTGTGAGGGCAGTGAATGAGCAGCTAGAGAGTGCTTAGTTGCTGGCAAGAGTCAGCATAGATACACAATATATTTAATAGATTCATGTTGTATACAAGTAGTTTAAAAAAGAACATATTAATAATAGTTCATAGTCTTAACAGTTCATTCTCTCAATTGCTTTAATGTGCTAAATGTTTTTCTGGAACTGGACATCTTAAAAAATGCAGAACAATCACTCTAGGTTTCAGAACAATAAAGAAAATATCAGCTTTTCCACTAAAACTGGTGACAACTCACATTAGTCAGCTTGCAAGCAGGTAGGCTTCCCCTGCTTTTATTTCAGAAGTATAATCCTAAATTACTTCCTCCAAATTATGCTTCCTTTTACAAATGAAGTATACTGTCATCCCACGCACTTTTTTTTCACACTTTATCAACAATGGTTTTACATGTTAACTTTTAGTTAATTTTAAAATAAACAAGTATTTCTTCTTTCAAAAGACTTTCTGAAGGGCTAGCTGTCTGGCTTCCCACTTTCCAAAAGACTTGGGGGTATCTGCATTAGCATTTATTTTAGATCATAAGTATATTCCCCAAGTGACTTTTGGGGTTTGCTCACCTCCCACAGCATGGTTTGCGCTGTGGAACGGGATCAGAGCTTCAAAATTAAATTGGAAGGTGTGCTTCTGGATGTGCACCAAATGCTAATGAGCACACACCCCACATAATAAAAGTTAATCCAGACTTCAATTCCAGAAAAGTGTTTAGTGAAGATGTCAAGATCATAGCACTAACTTGCCAAATCCCATCATCCATAGGCACATAACTTGCTGATGTACACACAGGCAGCCATCAGCACTTGCTGATGTAGCCCTTCACAGACAGCCATGTTAGCCATTGGTCATTTTTCTCAGGACAAATGGAAATGTCTTTTTGTCTTCTGCAGTATTAAAGCTGCCAAGTCTTCTGAAATACAGGATAGCCTAAGACTGTCAACTTTTAGATGTTTGCTACTGTTTTGCTGTTGAAGATAGATTTTAATAATGAATCTGGTACCAAGGAGGACCTATTTCAGGTATGAGTAAAGGAAGGACAATACATCTGTGATGTGGACATAGAAGTAAATGTGATGTGCATAAGGAACAAACGTATCCTTCATTTTAATGCCAATATGTATTTTCAGTCTAAGACTGATTCTTCAAACCTGCTGCTTAAGAAATACAGAAAGGGATCACAGAAAATCAGATGTTGTTTTGTATTCTCTGAGTTCAGAGCTTCCTACCTTTTGGTGACACCATAAATTTCTTCTATAATAACCTGAAGAACAGCTCGATAAAACAACGACTCTGTAGGCAGCTGGAAAAAAAAAAATCAACAACAAGGATTTAAAATTGGAATTTAAATATAGATCATAGTAAAAAAACAAAAACAAAAACAAAACCAGTATTGGCTTCTACTTATTTTTTTACATTCCTTGCAATCAGTCATAACAACTGGACATTTTACTAATGTTCCTGAATCCAGTTTAATTTACATTGCCAGATTCTAACACAACTTGAATGTGAGAAAAAAAAGAAAAGAGAAACCCAAAGCCTGAAGTAGAAGATCAAAGACTGGCAGAGAAAAAAAGAACAGAAAAAATGTAGTGATCATGACCCAAATTCTACTCTGCAAAATAAATCTAACAATTTACCTAAACTGTTCTAAAGACAAATAAATAATTTCCTAGCTGAATCATCATGTGCTGTAGTCTCAACAATGCAGAAAGCACTGTGCTCATAAAAACAGAATACGCTTAAAAGTTCATATCTTTGAGTATAAAAGATCTGTTTCCATAAAAATAGTTAATAGTTGTCAGTCTAAAATTCGTGGCAAAGCTAACCCACAATGAAAGACTACAGGGAACAGGAGGATTACACACAGAGAGAAGAGTTCTCAGTCTTTTTAAATATTTGCACAGTAGGTGTCTGCCATCCAAACAGGATAACTTGCACAGCAGTAATTCAAAGTATTCATGGATTAAAAAAAAATACAGAGATTAAAAATGAGAATGATGATGTTTCTTACAGATATAAGCTTTTGTCATAACAATTTCTATTTTTACATTCGTTGATATAACACTGGGATGGAATGATCCAAACCAGGGATATCAGAAGGGCATTTGGACTTAATTTATATACTTGCTGAAAGATAGTGCAAGAAGTTAGGAAGAGTAGCTTAAATTTTAAGCCGTGCCTTTTTTTCAGACTCTTAATTATCAAGAGAAAACAGACTCACTAGGTGCAACCGCAGCAATAAAAATGCAATTTCATGATGACACATGCTATCTATCAGGATTTGATGTACTGTATGCTAGTGTTTTAGATTCCAGAAATTCAAAAGTTCAATAAAAGGTCGCGGATTAAGAGCATTTAAAGGGGAAAAACACATTTTATCTTAGAATGGTTAAAATAAACAGTATGACTTACCATTTGGCCAACTGCAACTCGCTCCAAAGCCTTTAAGAGTGAAGGAATTAAATTGCTGATATGTTTATTCTTTATCAGAACATTTTATAAACACATTGTATAAAAGTCAGAGGATATGACATTTTAAAAGATTAATGGTGTGACACAACATGAGCTTGCACACTTTAAAGTGTTAATACCGTTACAGAACCATAAACAGCTCACTCCTGTTATTTTGGTTTATTTATAAGAGAAGCAATGATAACCAACTGTATAGATGTGAGCAAAATTTCTTTCTTTTTCTTAGGTTTATAAAAGAATTTCTGAGAATTCTTTCCGTATTTTTTCTGTCTTTGTATTGTTGTATACAATTATTGTATAATTATTTATTTACAATATAATATTTTAAATGCAATATTAGATATTTGTTTTATATCTTCTATTCTTGCAGAAATGCAAGCAATTCAGTTTCCGATCAATTATTTCAAAGTAAAGATTGGTTCAATGGCCAATGCCTTTAAATACTTTTAGACTCTAGTATAATGAGTGTAAATAAATTAAAAAATTCAGAGGGACTGAACTTAGAAAGGTAATGCATGAACTTTCACAACAGATTCCTCAGATCACAAATCCTGATGCTGGTATGAGAGTACTTGATTTTTATGATCCATACTGACCAAGAATGGCAAATAATCACAAGCATGGTATGTTTTCCTCCAGAAGTAAAGATCATAGTAGAAATGAAGGAAAAACTTCAATCAGTTGCCTGACACTAAAATAAATTAGATAAAAAATCAAAAACGTCTCACCACTGAAGGATCATTGTCCCCAAATTCCACCACAGCAGATAGAACTGCTTTTCACTGAATCGCCCACTTTTTCTTCTCCTAATTTGAGAACTGATCTTGTATTTCAGATTGTGCTGCAACTACAATCCAAGTAGTTGTACAAGTGAAAAGTGTATACCTGCCTCAATGCAGAAGATGGATGTGTCTGGAAAAGTGTGAATCTGAGTTATCTCATCCAGACCTTTGTCCCTTGGCCCTTTAACCAATTTGAACAATATGTAATGATGAACATTATATTGAATATCTTATCATTGTTCAGCAGATTCAGTTTCTCCAACCTAGCCATTGCCCCTGGGAAGGTGGGTGCCTAGCTGCATATCACCAGGGCAAGGAGTGCCCCAGTCATGAAAAATGCAAGCAGGGGATTTCAAATGTACTAATTGTAGAAGCATCTAGTGCCATGGGAGAACTCCTTGCCTTTGTGAAGTTTTAAACAAAAGAAATTTTTAACTGCCTAATTTCTGTGAATTCTATGAACTCTAAAACAGATAGATTTCACATGTTCAGTACTATCTCTTCGGAGTCATTTGCTTACAAAATTTATCTTCCTACCATTGTTGAAAGACAGCCCAGACTTTCCCTTTCTAAAAGAAAAAGAATGGGAAAGAAAGCAAGTAATGGGTCAGCCTAGGAAGTAATAGTATTGCATTACACTAACAATAAAAAGAAAACAGGCAATCTCTTTTAGAAAGTATTTTTATGATAAAGGTTTTACAACATCATGGCTAAAAGAAACAGATTTTTTCTTGTACCTTGCCAAGGGTAACACATTTAAGCCTAATGAAATACTAACTGTCCTCCCTTGCTTTCATCTGACAGTATTAAATTATCATGTTAGCTTGCATTTATATAACCTTGATATGTTAACCTGTACTGCCTCTTCAGTCCATACTATTCTCTCAAACAGAAGTAAAGAGGTAGCAGCAAAGGCTTACCAGAACCTATGACTCATCTTGATACAAGAAATTAAAAACTAATAAAGGGTATTAGTCTTCTAACTGAAACAGTGGTCAAAATTTTTGATACGTATCTGTTCTTTCAAATTGGACAACAGTTCATCATTCTGTCTCACTGAGGTTAGGTCTTTGCAACTCCTGGTGCAATGTTAAAAAGATGTTTCCAGTCTGTTAAACCACACGGATTTTAGAGCTCTTCTCACTTTTGGAAGAGGCAAGTTTGTTTAGGTTTCAAACAGTCAGAACATTCAATATTATGAATCATGAAGGCGTTGGGGGAGTTACTGATTGCAATCCTTCTACAATTACCTTGTTCCACTCTAAGTCCTTGGCCAGGAACCATTACCCTAAGGGGTTACCTTGTTTAGGTTTTACCAAAGGTTTGGCCTTTCTGTCCATTCTTAAAATATGTTTCTGTCAATACTCATTTTTTCATTCCTTCAGCAAGTATAAAATATATAACACTGGAAGGTCAGTACTATTTTTTTAGATACAATTCATCATGCTTACAACATTAATGACGTTACTCTGCAAAGTCTTGGATTAAAGTCATGGCTCTTGGATTAGAAGCCAAAAACAATGAATCCTATAACATCTGGACAGAGTTCTCAGTAGGAAAAAGAAAAAAAGGGGAATCATACCAAGCACGCTGACATTCTAGCATTGCGACCGCAGCACCAGCCCTCGTCCTTCAAGTACTGACACATGGGAAATCCCCACACTTCCTCTGTGCAATCTGCAAGATGGGGAAAAAGAACAGGCACAGCTTTCATGAACTCTTCACTTTACCTTACAGTGTAAACAACATATTGAGCAAGATGAACAGTTAATGGATGGTAGCAGAAACACTTAACTGTTCCAGTCCAGTACCAAGAAACATTAGTATTATAATTATGAATTTTCCTCATAACAGATGTTTTTGGCTGATATTGAATTTCTGGTAATTTCAAAACTTTTTTTTTTTTTTTAAACTAGGTCATTTTTATAAAAATCAACTGAGAAAAAAGTTCTAAGGGACATGGGAGGATTTGCAAATACCTCTGGCACATCCTGCCATGCCATGAGTTATAAGAAGTGAGGCAGGCAGTCATTCAGTATAGCAGGACTTCACTATTTCTTCTACTGGGTTCCTCTTCTACCATAAACATCTTCTAAAATCACAAAGAATGCGTACGTGTTTATTTCAATTCTGAAGCTCTGTGCTTTGCTGAGAGACAGAATGTTTGCTCTCCAGAAATGAGCAGCTGCAAAGGCTCATGCTGTTTCTTCAAAACACAGAGAAGCATTTGCATCACAATCTGTGTTCAGTTTGTTTCAGTATCATTAGTATTTTGAATAACAGCAGAAGTCTTCATGTTTAGCACTAATGAAAATGTGGGAAAAATAAACAAGCAGTTTAGATTATTATTAGCTAAGTGTTCATAGTATCTAGGTGTAAATGTAGATGAAATCCACAACGTTTAGAATTTTTATTGGTGTATTTGTCAGCTGATTTTTCAGTGCATTGAATAAGAATTACCTTATTGCTTACTTACCTACTTACCTTAAAAAAAAAAAAAAAAGCCAACAAAACAAACCAAACGAATTCTACAGCAAATTGGCTAAGATCCTGGCTTTTTAGCATAGAGAGATGACTCGGGCACATTTAAAGACAAATCAATTTAATGGGGTTAAAAAAAGGACAGCAGAAATGTGGCTCTTCAAATTTACTAGAAGTCTGGCGATACAAACACATAAGCAGAATTCATTTCGTGAAACGTAGGCAAAGAAGAAGGGTAAGAGGAAACTATAAAGGACACAACTCTCTTCCACCTCTTCAGTTCTTCTCGTGCTAGTCTCCAATGACCAATGATCTCTAGAGAGTAACAGGGAGCAAGTAATCTTCTGCAGGCAACCTCACGTTTTGCTCTCCTTTTAGTCTCAAAGGCTAAAAGCTTAATATGGAACGTATACTAGTTTAAGGACCATAATTGAAGAACTGAACATTAATGTGGGATAATTAACAGAAGAAGGAAAGTTCCTGTAGACCTGAAGATGAAATTAGACAAAACAGATTGCAGCTTGTTCCGAACTAGGACTATATAAGTATTTGTAAATGCTTCATGACACAACATCAAACATCATTTAACTTTAGGTCTAATTACTGAGTGCATGGAATAAAGCTCCTACAACAGGGATAGTAATAAGATCTTATTAAATACATATTTGGAAAGCAAAAAATGACTCCCATGGTTCCTATTTTAAGGGTCACATTAATAAGCTTTTCTAACACGTACGTTAGAATATTTTAAAGTAAAAATGTGCAAACTGAGTTAGAAAGATAAAATCAATCAATCTTCTCAAGTTATCCCTTATAACCTATACCCTCTCCTCTAGGCAAAATAATCATCCATGCAATTAAAATTGCTAACCACTGAGCTACAATCACAATATTTGTACTCTATACTCATGTGTAATGCTGAAGAATTTCTGACATCTTTGAAAAGACGGTGATACAAAACATGATCTTCTTTATCGAAACTTTCTCTTTAGCTAGAGAAAGAGAGGTAAACCAACACAGTGAGTTCGGTTTTTTGGTCTACTTACAAAGTTGACCATATATCTACAATATTGCCTTGAGTTCTTTTTGTTTTTCCATATCCAGTGCACTCTCAAGTCTATTGCTGATTAAAAAAAAATAGTTGAAAGATAAATACATTCCTATGAAGTGTATATGTTTATCAGCTTGACTTCACAGACCTGAAAATTCTTTTAATGCCTTTAACTACTTTTTACATGCTTGATACTACATAGCTCATTATTTATCATCTTGTGCTTCTATCTGACAATGCAAAATTGCACTAAACGCTATACAACTCTACAAAAGATTCAAACATTTCAAATATGGGTATTCTGTGGAAGACTTCACAGCAAACACTGCAAGCGATCAACAGTGCATGAAGAAAATAAAAAATCATGCATAATGTAAAGAAGCCAGCTGAAAAGAATTCTCTTTCCATGAAAGGTTAACAAAATGGGAATTCTACGCAACTATTTGATGAGGTGAACAGATAGCTATAACATCTCTTCTTCACAGGTTAGGGGGATGATGTGCTAGAAAGGAACTCTGAGCAGGACTCCTGGTGGACAGTAGGTTGGCTATGACCCAGCAGTGTGCCCCTGTGACCAAGAAGGGTGCATTAAAAAGAGCATGGTCAACAGGTCAAGGGAAGTCCTTCCCCTCTACCCTGCCCAAGTGAGGCCACATCTGGAGTACTGTGTTCAGTTCTGAGCTCCTCAGTTCAAACAAACAGGGATCTTTTAGAAAGAGTGACTCAAGCACTGGAATAGGCTGCCCAAAGAGGCTGTGGAGTCTCTCTCTTCAGAGATACTCAAGACCCTTCTGGATGCCTTCCTGTGCAACCTGCTGTAAGGAAACTGCTTTAGCAGGGGGTTGAACTTGATGATTCTACAGGTCCCTTCCGATCCCTGCAGTTCTGTGAATCTGTTATTCTGTGAAATTCATAAATAAGAATTTTAATAAGAACTTTCCAAATCATTGCTTTTTTGCCATTATAGATTTTTCATGTCTTTTGAAAAACAAAGACATTTTATGGATCTTAAGTGGATGGATCTTAATCAGAGTATCCTTTGAAACATTTGCATAACTTATGCAATCCCTCCATGGATTTACTAACTCTTCTTGTAACCACAGCGATGTTTTACAACTAACCCTTGTGCATCTGATTTATCACATTAGTCTAACAGGCAGAAATAAGATAGGTCTTGAAAAGAATATGCTATGTGAAGTTGTCTTGAGTTTGGTTTCCTATATACTTTAAATCCTATGGAGGAGATCATTAAACACTTTGAGAAACATGTGCAAACATACCAGACACAACTGCGAATTATTTATGGACTTTTTCACAGAATCACAGAATCACACAACACTGTCTAGCAAAGGAAAATACAAAGGCCCAGGTAAAACATTTTAAGCTGGAATAAATGCAAAGCCTCATATTTTATCATCAACTGAGTAGGACTAAATTTTCTACAAAGTATGTCAGATTACCATTTCCCACTTCTGGGAACTCAATGCTACAATGCTGTCAGAATGATCTTATTTCTTAACTCATTCCTTGAAATCACATGCTATTTTCTGTCCTTCAATTATTTAGACATTTTTCTAAGTCCTTCAGTAAAATGCTGTCACGCTTTGTACAGATTTCAGCCTCCTTCCATCTAGAATAACTTATTGAATACTGTAATAGTAATGGCAGAAACCGTTTGGAGCACTTGTACTATTCTGAGGGTTTTTTTTCCCCTCTGGTTATTTAAGTTCCACATGAAAAAGAGGACAATACGTACAGATATCTGGGATATTGAAATTTTATGTCAGATAGAAAAAAATTAGAAATCATAGCAAATGTATGTATATATGCATACATACATTTAAAGAATTAGATCGACTACAACTTCCTTCATCATGATTTACTTCTTTCTGGATGCAGAAAAAAGTCAGGTAAGCTTCATTGTTCTCATTGTATTCACAGACACACTCTTAGTTGCTGAACAGTGTTTAAAAGAAATTAATTGAAGGATTTTCTAACAAAATAGTTAAGTGTAGTTTGGGAACAGGATTTCCAAATACAGAATACTGAATGTTATTTATTAATATTTCTTTTTCTGATAGATAAAAAATGTACTAGTGTACATACTAGTGTACAGTTAGTAGAAATGTCAGACCTTACATAGATCTTAACTCTGAGCAAGATTCTGTTATTTCTAGCATGTTAACATTTAAAATTTACATATCACATCATTCTAGCACAATATAGTTTCTTAGAAACATCAGAACTAATAGGTTTTACTGTTGCAACACAAATTAGCTTAACTAGGGCTCCATATTGTCATGCAGCTTCTTGCTTATTTTCCTCTGTTATCACCTCATGAGAACATATTTACATTTATGCTTCTCATCTTTTTACTCTCTTGCAATTCCTAACTGTTTTCTGCTTTACATTCTGCTAGAGAATTTTACTGAAATACTACATTGGAAACTATTTCTTAAAGTCATTCTGGCAGAAACAATCCAAATATTGTAACAAAACAATGCCTATCCCAATGGTTAGTGAATAATTAATGAGAAAAAATAAATAAACCAGGGCTTTGTTTCACTTTTGTGGCATTGTATACATTGATCATAACAGCTGTTTTGAAACTCTTCATCTGTTCTTTATGAAAGCAATACAAATAAATTAGGATAAGTGGGAAAGCACTATAAAATATAAGATTCTGATTTTTTTGAAATGTATTTAATTTTTCTATTCTCAGGTTTTAAGATTTTCTAGTTTATACATGACTACAACACTGAGAATTACTTTCCAGTAATGAGTTCATCAGATTGCAAATAGTATGTGACAAAGTGAAGGCAAAAATATGTTTTTAGCGTACAGGCTGAATTTCCAACTTTTCTCACTATCGTGTCTTGCTTAAGAAACTCTATTCTCCTTGGGAAAAAAAAAAAAAAAAAAAAGCTTATTTCATTCCTAAACTTTATCTTAGGCAATTTATTACCGAAATGCAGTGAAACACCAGTTTCTTAAAGCGTTTCAGCATGAGAACATAACTTTAGGAGAATGAGAACTTGTTCTATTTACTTAGTACTGTCAAGCTGATTGTACGCCCACAGCCAGTTCTGTACTAAGCCACTCACACTGCAGTTTTTAGTGGCAAGTATCTTATACTTACCTTACA